TTCAGGAATTGCTCAATGCGGCTTTTGGGAGTCCGGATGAGAACCCATTTAGTACTTGATTTGAGGTTTTTGGTTTCTTTTTCTTTCTTTTCTTTTTTTTTTTAGGTAGTTATTATTAGTTTTAATATATATATATATATATATATATATATATTGAACGTCTGAGAAGGTTGATATAAATTTGTTATTCTAGACCACGGAAGACTTTACTCTTTTTGGATTTGCTTCAAGGGCTGTTTTGACTACTACCTCTAACTCCTCATGCGGTTTTGGGCGTGAGTTCCAATCTTTTTCATTGCCTTGTCTGCATAACTTATCAACGGTCAATTTTGGCGTTTCTCCCAGTATATAGACTTGCATTGGAATGGTACATAAATATGAATTTATGACAGAATTGGAAGATGTGCTTATAAATTAATTAATATCTCTCCTTACCTGGATATCGCGTCGGAAATTACTGTAAAGTTTGTTGGCATAAATGTAGATAGATATAAATTTTGATAAGTTTGGACTGTTTGGTGGTTGCAAAAATCGAGGGGTCGCCCCTCAACGTCTGATTGGTTGCACCATGTGCAGCTCCAAAAAGGAAATTTTGGCCCAAGAGGATGAAGTAACTTGGTGCCTCCAACCCAACCTCGCAGAATCCGCCATCTTCCTCTGGGACACCTAATCAGTCTTCGCCGTGGAACAGGGCGCATTTCGACAGGAATACGTTCTGTCTTGTTAATTGTCTTGCTTCTCTCGGGTTCGTTTCTTCTGCGTGTGTTCGACCCCTCCCACAACCATGGCTTTCGCCGGCCAGACTCCTACGATCATTGTCTTGAAAGAAGGTCAGTTCGTCCCCGCTACTTACATCCTTCTGCCTACTTAGCTACTCTACAGGCACGGATACATCCCAAGGAAAGGGCCAGATAATATCCAACATCAACGCCTGTCTGGCAATCCAGTCGACGGTTAAGGGAACCCTCGGCCCATATGGTGGAGATCTATTAATGGTAGATGCCAACGGGCGTCAGACCATTACCAATGATGGGGCGACGGTAATGAAGGTTAGTTAACGTTGTTGCCCTTTTATTTTATATCCGTTAACTAGCTATTTTGATGGACTTTGGCTTTGTATTTCCATGTAGCCCATTACGGAAACCCAACCACACTAACACTAGATGAATCATAAATATTTTAGCTCCTTGACATTGTCCATCCAGCCGCACGCATCTTGACAGACATCGCGAGATCACAAGACGCCGAAGTTGGAGACGGTACTACCTCCGTCGTTGTTCTAGCCGGAGAAATACTGAAGGAGCTCCGCGACGCCGTGGAGCAAGGCGTCAGCTCGCAGATCATCATCAAAGGCCTGCGGAGGGCAAGTGCACTGGCTGTCAACCGCGTCAAGGAGATTGCCGTTGATTTGCGCAGCACACATGGAAACATTGAGACGAAGGTGGAGACACTGCGACGGTTGGCGGGGACGGCAATGAATAGCAAGTTGATAAAAAGGAATTCAGATTTTTTTACGAAAAGTTAGTATTCCCCCTTTTCCCTCTAAAGTTGATCTGGTTACAGGGCATGGGTTTTTGGTTATGGCCGAAGGGAGATGGGCTGACTCTTGTTCCGAAGTGGTCGTCGATGCGGTCTTATCTCTGGACCAAGACGATTTGAATGAAAAACTTATTGGCGTGAAGAAGGTTACCGGCGGTGCTCTTCAGGAATCTCTCTTCATCAATGGTGTTGCGTTCAAGAAGACATTTTCATATGCTGGTTTCGAACAACAACCGAAGTTCTTCAAGAATCCTAAGATCGTATGTTTGAACGTTGAACTAGAGCTAAAAAGTGAGAAGGACAATGCAGAGGTGCGCGTGGAGCAGGTATCGGAGTACCAGGCTATCGTCGATGCGGAATGGCAAATCATCTTCAATAAGATGGAAGCCCTCTACAAGACTGGGGCGAAGGTCGTGTTGAGCAAGCTGCCCATCGGTGATCTAGCCACACAGTACGATTTTATCATCCCTTTCTTCTCCCATTACTATACATACTGATACACAGCTCAGATACTTCGCCGACCGTGATATCTTCTGTGCGGGCCGGGTCGCTTCCGACGACATGGAGCGCGTCTGCCAGGCCACCGGCGCCTCCACCCAATCTACATGTACGGACATCCAAGACCGCCATTTAGGAACCTGTGGCGCCTTCGAAGAGCGCCAAATTGGCAGCGAGCGCTTCAACATCTTCTCCGACTGCCCTGCCGCCAAAACCTGCACCCTCGTCCTCCGTGGCGGTGCTGAACAGTTTATCGCGGAGGCTGAACGCAGTCTCCATGACGCCATCATGATTGTCAAGCGCGCGCTGAGAAACACGAGCATTGTCGCCGGTGGTGGTGCTACGGAAATGGAGCTCTCCGGCTATCTGCACAGTTTCGCGGATAGGAACGTGCCGCATAAGCAGCAAGCGGTCGTCAAGGCGTTTGCGAAGGCGCTGGAGGTCATCCCCCGCCAGCTCTGCGATAATGCTGGCTTCGATGCAACGGATATTCTTAACCGATTACGCGTGCAACACAGGAGGGATGTGTGGGCGGAGTTGATTTTGATAATGACGTGTTCGGATATATGGAAGCCGTTTGTGTGGGAGCCTAGTCTTGTCAAGGTCAA